CAGCCTGGGCTGCTGTGAAATGTGGAGGTTGGTGGCCCTGCATGTGGTGGGGGTTGGAGCTTCGTGATCCTCAAGATCCCTTCCAACCCAACCATTCTGTGATTCCATCCTTAGTGAAGCTGTGCTGTCAACAACCAGGTGAGGGTCAGGTTGGATATCAGGAAAAGGTTCTTCCCCACAGGGCAGTGGGCACAGCCCCCAGCTGCTGGGGGTTGAGGAGCATTGGGACACTTCTCTTAGATATCGGGTTTGGGGGGTGCTGTGTGGGGCCAGGAGTCAGACTCAGTGATTCTTGTGGATCCCTTCCAGGTGGGAACATTTGATGATTCTAAGAACCACCCCTCTGCTCTCCATGTCCATCAGCAGTTTCCAGGACAGTGGCTGAATGGTTTAAGTTGGAAAGGGACCTTAAGGACCACAGACTGCCACCATCCTGCCGTGGGCTGGTTGTCCCCAGCAGCTCAGCCCAGTGCCCTGTGCTCCATCCTTGGGCACCTCCAGGGGCGGGCATCCACTCTTCCCTGGGCAGCAGTGCCACAGCATCACCCCCTCTGTGTAAAGGACTTCCTCCTCTTTTTTTGCTGGCATCCTCTTCCAGAATGATGAGGACAGCCATTGCTGTGTTAGCAACACACAGCCCTGTCACTGCCACAGCAGAAAAACTGAGGACCCACATAAGAGGGTGCGTAGGAAACCACTGACAAATTGGAGTTTTACCTTTATTCATAGGGGAAGTTGAACCGTTTACCTGGAATAAGGGTTACGTGGATGGAGTCTTCCCAAATACACTGAAATACTAAAGAAACTTCAGCCTTGATCTCTTTCTGCTCATGGGGTCCTCAGGATTTATCCACTTCACACTTTCACAGGCCACCAGCAGAAACCAGACAGAGAACAGCATTCCATACATTGAAGACCTGAAATCTGAGGTCTGGAGCCAAATAAAACACGGGTGGAACACAGTGCTATAAGGTGCATCCATGCATGGTGTCACTCAGGGATTGGTTGCCCCTTTTGTCCAAGCATTGAAATCCCAGTCAGGAGACTCAGAAAAATGTGTTTCATTGCTGGGGTTGGGTAGGGACAAACAGGAGGGACAGGAAGAGGAACAGGCTGGAAGCTGAGGAATACACAGACCGAACTTGGCTGAGTCTCCTGGAGTTATTAAACACCAGACAGAGCTCATTGGAGCACCTTTATCCGTTGGGGTGACACTTCAAACCGTGGAAGCAATCCTGCACATGCAGAGGTCTGAGCAGATGGCAGAGGTGCAGAATCTGACAAACCTCCTTTTCCCTGCTGCTGTGCTGAAACAACCCAATTCAGAACTTAAGAACCACTCCTCCAGGCTCAAGGATTGTCCCAGGCTTCTCTGACACAACATTTTTCTCTTTCTTTAAGCTGCATTCTCTTGAGGCAGTGCTGATGGGGCGCCAGGAAAGGCTCAGACCTCCTTCAGGTTGGATATTAGGAACTGTTTCTTCTCAGTGAGTGGTGATGCAGTGGCACAGCTGCACAGGGCAGTGGGGGACTCTCCATCCCTGGAGGTGTTCAGAGCCATGGAGATGTGGCACTTGGGGACACGGTTGGTGGGCATGGCGGGATGGGGTTGGATGTAAGGATCTTGGGGTTCTTCTCCAACCTCAGTGATTCTGTGATTCTATCACAGAGCTGATGAGTTGGAGCCAACACCTGAAGGCCAGCCCAGAGCGGGCTCTTGGCTCTGCTTTGCACCTGTGCTGTTTCCTGTAGGGGTCAGAAAAACTAATGATCAGGCCCAGGCTGAGAGCTCCAGCACCCCAGTAGAAGGGTTTCCTCCTCACCCCAAACATTTTGGGGATGCTTTCAGCAGAACGCAGAGCCTCCTCTGACAGCTGCCTCCAGACAGAGCTGGTCAGTACTTGGTGCAGCTGCATCTCCACAGCTCAAGGCCATCGATAAGCAAAGCACAATGCATCCCAGTTCCATCCCTGTTGGAGCAGCTGGGTTTCACTCCAATAAGGATGAGCCCTGGCACAAAACACCTCCCAACCTGTCATCACCACTCAGTACTGGCACACCTCAACACAGAGCCCAGGAACCGTAGGAACACAAGAACACTTTGGACCCATCTCAACTTCTCGTGTCTTCCAAGCAATTACGCAGATCCTAACAAGAGGGCTGTTCCCAGCTTAGGTGAGCAAATTAAGGTGAATCCAGTGGTGTGGAGCCACATGGTAAGATTTGAAAGTTGCTTCTGCAAAACACCCGTTGTGCTCACATCTCCCAACCAGCTCACCCTGACGACCAACACTGCCAAAGGATCCATTGAGGAAGCCCTACAGAAACAAGCCCTGTTCTGCAGCGTGCATTCTGCCAATAGGGAAATCTCACACGGACATCTCTGAAACACGTAAATGAGGGATTGGTGAGGCATTACCCCCACAACCTCATTCTTTTCCGTGGTACAGCTTCCCAAATCACAATCTCCCATTCCTTACGAGAGGAATAGGCCAGTTTACACACAGAACAAAGCAGACTGTAGCCCCTCACGCCATCCCTAACATCCTGGTGACGTGTCACACACACCTATTTCCAAATCCTACAGCATTAAAGATGTATACATCTGGCTTACATCACATCTTTATAGGATCCAGGGGAAAAAGTCCTTCCTCAGTGCAGGATTTTTTTCCCTACTTCCATTTTTAGTTTGAGATGTTTGTCTGCCTTTCCCACTCCATGCGTAGCTTACATCGATCCTCCGTCAGCTGAGCTGTCGAATCTAAAGTCCTTTTTCTTCAATTTGTAGAATATCTTGTCAGATTAAGACTGATTGTGTTAGAACTGTTGGCTCTCAGCCAGTCATCCTTTAACACATGCTGGATCCTTGCATCAACTTCTGCCTTTTCTTTCCCCCCCCACTGTTTTAGAACCATCACCGCTGATTTAGAAACAACACCAACATAAGGAAGCATCCAGTGCTACCTCACACTCCTACCTCCAGCCCACAGCAATGAGCACCAGAAAATGGAAACTAGAGAGAATGAGGGTAATACAGAAATGAGCTGAAAACGGTGAACTTTCCTCTGTATTACAGACAAAAGCAGCAAGGAAGCGGTGATGTGCTGCCAAATGAAAGGAAGCTGTGAGCTGCGAAAGAGGTTGATGGGATCACAGGTGGTGTGGGATGAGGCCCTGCCAGCACACTAAGAGAGGAATGCCACCACCAGGCCCTGCAAAGGTCTCATTTGGGATGCATTCATCAGGTCTAATTAACTACTACCAAGAAAATGGGCATAAGAAGGGCACAGAGCCATGGGAGCAGCGCCAGGCTTGGCTCACAGAGATGCTCAGGAGTTGGAGCACCTCTGCTACAGAGCCAGACTGAGAGCTGGGGCAACGTGAGAACAAAAATAAGTCCATAAATTAACTGTAAATTAGGCTTTAAATACAGATTTCTAACCTACAATAGAAGTTGGAGTATTTAAAACAAGATAATTTTTAGCATCTCTAAGTTTAGAAACAGTGTGCAGCTCAACCCAGACTGCCCTTCTGAAATTCCTTTGAGATCATTCTTCTGTTATTACAATTTCTACATTATTTTTTCTTCAGCTCTGTGCTGTCTCTGTAGTTTTGCACAATAAACAATACAGTACCCCTTTATATGCTTAGAGCATTTAGAATCATTAACACAAGCTAATTCTATTCCTAATTAGATAGAAAGATACTGAAATAAACGAATTCAGGTTTTGAAACTACAAAAACTTCGGGCCCTCAAAAAAACCCAACTTTTCTTTCAGGCAAGGCACTGTTCCATATTATTGTGTTCCATGTTACTGTCCGTCACACAAGGATTGGATATTTAATACAAGCACTTTACGTGGTGGAAATCAGAGTTACTCCCCCCTTCATCCCAGCTGTGATGCTGGCGGTCTGACCTGACATTCTGATTTTGGCACATTAAGGAAGAATCAGTGTGGGTAACTGACACATCAACAAAACCGAGATCTAACTGTGGATGAGGACAGACAGGATGTGAACACACCAAGAAGATCCAGCTGGTTCACTTCTGGGCTCTGCTCCACGCTGGGGTTCCTGGGAGCTGAAGCTCAACATTCAAGTCCTCAGCAAGAAGGCACCTTCCTAGCACTGCCCCAGCTCTCCTCCATTGTGGTTCACATTATTTCAGCAGCACCTCTGAGCACTGCTGTATCACTGAGAGACCCCTTCCTCCTCCATCCGAACTATCCACAGCCCATTTCTGAAGAAAACACAATTCCAGCCTTGAGGCACGGCAGGATCCTGACTCGAGTGCTTTTGCAGCGACCGCAGTGTGAGGCACAAAGTGCACACAGGGCCCCTCTTCAGGCTCTGGCTCCACTCTTGCAGCTACACCCATCTGCCCTGGCTGATGGGTATTCGTCCCTTTAACACACACAAAAACACAAGTTAACTTTCTTGGTGCTTTTATCCAAACTACGAATACATCACAGAGATCTGTGCCCACTTGGGAGCATTCTTTACACATGGCTAAAAAAACAGACAGGCAGAGGGGACAGGGGCCAAGTCCTTCCTGTAGAGTTCATGCTGACAGGTCGCTGTTGTCAAATCTCTCCTGGTCGTACACCTCTGCCACCACCTTTCTGCCAGCAAACCAGCGCCCGTTCAGAGCCTGAATGGCTTTGTGAGTCTCTGAGGCCATGGAGAACTCCACGAAGATCTTGACGATGATCTCAGCGTCTTCCTCTTCTCCCTGCTTCTCCTGGTAGATGATGACCCTGTTTACAGCCCCAAATTTGCCACATTCTTCTGTCACTTCTCCCTCCAGGTCATCATCAATGTCCTTTGGATCCACCATGTTGCGAAGCACCATCACAGTGGACTGCAGAGAGAAGGAACAGGACAAATTAATTAGTACACCAGATTTCCCAGTGTTACGTCCTATATTGCAGCTGGTCTCACTAAGAAAGGCTCAGCCATCCTGGGTGCTTTTTAGAATCACAAAGGTTGGAAAAGACATCCAAGGTCATGCAGTCCAACCTCCCACCTATCACCGCCCACAGAACCACGTCCTCAGTATATCTAAATGTTCCTTGAACATCTCCATGGTCGGTGACTCCCTGGGCACCTCCCTGGGCAGCCCGTTGCAGCTCCTGACCACTCTTCTGGAGAAGAGGTTTTTCCAAATATCCAACTTGAATCTCCCCTGGCTCGACCTCAGGCCATTCATTCCCTCTCATCCCATCACTGCTACATGGGAGCAAAGGCCGACCCCAGCTCACCACAACCTCCCTTCAGGTCATTGTAGTGAGCAATAAGGTCACCCCTGAGCTCCTCTTCTCCCCACTGAACAATCCCATTCCCTCAGCCGCTCCAATAGGATTTGTGCTCCAGACCCCTCACAGCTCCACTGCCCTTCTCTGCACACACTGCAGGGCCTCGGTGCCTTTCTTGCAGTGAGGGCCCAACACTGAGCACAGCACTGAGGTACGGCCTCACCAGAGCTGAGTACAGAGGCATGATCACCTCCTGCTCTGCTGGCTGCACCATTTCTGGTACAAGCCAGGGTGCCATTGGCCTTCTTAGCCACCTGGGCACACTGCTGGTTCACAGTCAGCTGAGCATCAGCCAATACCCCATCTCTGAATGGTAGGTAGCCTGAAGATTCCATTTTTTTGGATAGCTGTTGCTATCCAGTTACTTTTTTTGCTTTGATACCTCCTTCACCATTGTCATGCATTTAAACTTTTTCTTGTGTCAAAATAACATAGGAAGTTTAACCAACTATTTTCTCCCCACTAAAACTTCAGACAACGAAAAGAATCATTTAGGTTGAAAAAAAAAACCTTCAAGATCATCAAGCCCAATCATCCCAACTCTCAACAAACAGACCACACAATATTGCTGATGCCCACAGCCCTGTTCAGTGAGCAGTATTTATCAGGCAATGGCTGACCAAGTATTTAACTACAGCACATGACAACATATGAACCTTTCAGTGTGCCCACAATATTCCTTTGGTACATATCACAGAATCACAGAATGGCCAGGGTTGGAAGGGACCTCAAGGATGACGAAGCTTCAACCCCCCACCAATGCAGGGCCACCAACCTCCACATTTCACAGCAGCCCAGGCTGCCCAGGGCCCCATCCAACCTGGCCTCCAACACCTCCAGGGATGGACGGGGCATCCACAGCCTCTCTGGGCAGCTGTTCCAGCACCTCACCGCTCTCACAGCAAACAACTTCCCCCTCACACCCAACTGAAATCTGCCCTCCCTCAGCTTCAAATCATTTCCCCTCGTCCTGCAGTTATCTACCCTTTCAAAGAGTTGATATCCCTCCATTAAGCCCCTTTCTTACAACGTTCCTCTCTGCACCACAGAACTGTGGATGCTGTAAGGGAAAACCAGAGGTCTCCAGTGCAAACCCAGCCCTCAGGAAGGGCCATGCCCATGTGGCTTCTGAGCATCTACAAGGATGGAGACTCCAACACCTCTGAGCAACCTCTGTATGGCTCTGTGCATCAGACCCAGCTCCACCACATCCCTTCCTCCCACCACCGGCTCTGCCTGGTGGCCACAGTGTTTTGGGATCAGTATAATTAAGAAACACTTGCTCCAGTTCTTTTATGCACATCTGCCCAACTGCCTCTTCAAGCCATACTCAAAACAGCAAAATCTGAAGGGTATGTTTAGGTTGAAGAATGCAAAACATCTTTGAGAATGGTGTAGTTTTAAGACTCTTTTTTGATACTACTAAAAGCTTTTTCAAGTATGCCAAATGAATTACTTGCGAAAGACACCCGCCAGGAGGAAAGCTACCTATTAAATCAGAAGGTTCGGGACATCTCTAATTATTTGGTCTTTGAGAAATAAAGATCACACACAAGCTAACTCATCTGTCCTCCCTCATGAAGCCAGTGGAAGCATTATCCCTGTTTTGTATACAGAGAAGAAACACTGTCCATTTAGCGTCAAAGCTTGGGAAATCTGCATGTCTCAGTCATGCACAGAAACAAACCAGTGGTCATGCTCAAGCAAGAAACCTGATGAGATACAACACAGCCTGTGTTCCAGACCTCACAATCTACAAGCTATTTTTCTAGTGTGCAGGCCTTTTCTGCCATTCAAACTTGTTCTCTCTCCTGGTATCTTTGGTGAAATTTCATTTTATAAGCACCTCACAGTTTCATTGTACAGTAAAAAACTGTAGGGAAAAGGTGGACTCAATAACTCAGAACAGATTGCCTCTGTCACAGTGTGCCAGTCTCACTTCCTTAATTACAAGCCAAAACAAACTACAATGGCCTTTTAATGATGCTGAGCAAACACAGTTTAATCATTAAGACCTCCTAGCCAAGCCTTTCCTGGCCTGGTGACCAGCCAACACTCCCAGAGAAACTCAGAGAAGTTCCCAAAGGCAGAATGAGAACCTTCATAGCAGAAAATGAGTACGCAGCCTTTGTAATCCCACCCGAGCTAAGTGGAGCACCTTTAGCAAGTGCTGCAGGAAGCCAGTATCATATACAAAGCTGCAGAGCTAGCTTTGTATACCTAGCGTAAACCCAGCTGTCTAACTTGCTGACAGCTGGGAGCAACTCAGAGCAGCCATGTTGCACTCACCTCCTGTTTACGAAGCAGCTTCTGCATCACCATGTGACGGGCACTGCTGCCAGATATGCTCATGTGCTCCTGTTCACTCAGCATCTCCGGCCTCTCGGATTCCTGGAACACCTCCTCCTCTTCCTTCTCCTTCTTGACCTCCATCAGGCCCAGAGCTGGAGGACTGGCCAGGATGGGATTCACAACTCCCACCTGGGGAATGGTGACGGGAATGGGAGGGCGGGCAGGAGTAACACCTATAAGGGAACAAATTTTGTAGCACAAAGAACTGATGTTTGGCAACATTCAGATACACATCAACTGATGATAAGGAGTACCACAGCATCTAGATAGTCTTTATTTGCTCTACACCACCAACAACCAGGGAGGTATAAGCCTTAATAAGCACTCAATACATTCAACATATATTTGCCCTGAAGTGAGATTGAGCGCAGGACTCTGCACGAGGTAGCAACTCCCCCAGCTTCACTCAGGGCTCATGCATTCCTGCTGTGTAGCTCGTGCCCCTGCTGTATCTATTACACATCAACATAAACTCCTGCTATGCTGCACAAATTACAGTTCTCAACAAAGACAGGCAGGGAAGAGGATTTCAGCATTAAGTTCTCTTTAATCTTGACTCCAGCTGCGGAGAACTGTGTTTTTAACAGTTAAAACAAGTGACACAATGAGCAGCAAACACACCTGTAATGACTCCCGGTGCCTGTGCTGCCATCACAGCCTGTGGCAATGCCCCCAGTGGCTGTGCAAGGGTCAGTGCAGGGGATACGAGGCCAGGGGTGGCCAAAGTGCCAAGAACTGCAGCTCCTGCCACTGCTTCCTGCAAGAAGAAACAAGTGTTAATTCTGCATCATTAAGACATGCGTAGGGGGATCCAGCTGAGACCGAGCCCTTGTCACACTTAATACCAGGTATACAGATACTGAGGATGACAGCTCTCCAGGGCTACTACGTAAGAAAAAACTTATGCCATTTACAGGAACTGTAAAAGACATCAGCACTGGAAGACATTTTTTTTTCTTGCAGCTCAATTTCACCCATCCCCTCAAGCTGAATCACAGAATGGCCTGGGTTGCAAAGGAGCACAATGCTCACCTGGTCCCAACCCCCTGCTGTGTGCAGGTCGCCAACCAGCAGCCCAGGCTGCCCAGAGCCACATCCAGCCTGGCCTTGGATGCCTGCAGGGATGGGGCATCCACAGCCTCCTTGGGCAACCTGTTCCAGTGCCTCACCACCTCTGCATGAAAAACTTCCTCCTCACAGCCAACCCAAACCTCCCCTGGCTCACTTTAAAGCCATTCCCCTTGTCCCATCACCACCACCCTCACAGACAGCCGTTCCCCTCCTGTTTTTATGCTCCCTCCAAGCACTGGAAGGCCACCATCAGGTCTCCCTGCAGCCTTCTCTTCTCCAAGCTAAACGAGCCCAGTTCACTCAATCTTCCTTCAAGCTGGCAGGACACCAAGGGGTTCTGGTACATGCTCTGCAAAGTGCAGGCAATTTCAGAGGAGGAATAATGTCTACTTGCTTCCATGTGCTGCTAAAGTTTTTCTTAAGAGTTAACCTTCCACCAGATAACTTGTCTGATTCAAGGAACGGAACAGTCAGAAGTGCTCCTGCAAGCACAAGGGCAGGGCAAGAGAGAGCATGGCCATGTTCTCCATGTTGGCTTAAACCAAGCATCTCATCTCTCCAGTCATCACTTGTGAAGTGCAATCACAGCGACTACAGACCAATATCACAACGTAAGTTTCTGAATGAGAAAAATCATATCATTAACTTCTGCCACCATCATTTTTCTGGTGAAGTCCCATTGAATTTCATCCCTACTGATGATTGGAAACTTGCTTCAAACTTCCAGCCTTGATAATTAAAGAATTTTTTAAGCACCTCCTTGTGTCCACACCTCTTTCTTCCATCTCCTCACCTTCTTTGCCTCCATATGAACTGCACTCGAGTGGTCTGATGCACTTCTCAGTATTTTTCTACAGCTACTCCAGGTCATTTCCCTGTTTTCTCCCTGCATATCAGTTTCCATTTTCCTGAAGAACTGTGGGATTTCTTTCTTTCTTATTCCACGAAAGCATCTGACTGTAGATGGCCAGAATTCAAGCGTTTCAGATGAACACCCAGTTAAATGAGAACACTTCCAGAACACAATTGGAGTTATGGAATATAACAGGCACCTTAATTCCCATATTTTTTGCTGCCTTCCAGGCTATTATAGCCACTGCTTATTCATCTAGATCCTTCTCTTTCTTTCTCATAAAGATCCTGTAAGTTCTGACAGATCAGTGCAAGCATTTTGGGGTTCAGGTCCTTAAATAATGTAGTATTTATTTTGAACTCTACTGGTAAATTCTGTATGGTTCTTTCTCCAATCCTCTCTGATATTACAATTAATTATGCTTCTCATCTGTGTTACCAGCTAATTTAATTAGCATTCTCCTCCTAATGTGCACAGTAAGATCACTAACATTTCTGTGAATGGAGATAAATTAAGGAGAGCTTCAAAGCAACTTCACCAGGAGAGTGAAGGGTGAGCAGTTTCCAAGCAGAGCTCATTTCCACCTCTTCTCACATGGTTATGCACCTCAGAATTCATTTCAGCAGTCTCACTGCTATACGTAACAGCTTCTCACGTGCTTATGGGTCTCCACCAGCTCCTGAATTGTTGACAGAACGTGCAGTAAACATTTCTCCTTATCAAGTGTAACAGCAGTTTTATCAAAGGAAGTTATGTCCATTTGGCAGGGATATTGTCCTAAAACATCCAGATATAAAGAGATAGCTGTTTCTTCCAGCAGTTTTTTATACCTTGAAAGCTTGTTTTCACCCTTTCCCTACCACTGGGGTCAGAGCAGAGTCTGCAGGTATCACAGAATTAGTCTTCCATGCTACCTCACACAGAAGTGCCACACAAGCTATTCTTCAACACACAGTAATATCCCTGACTCGATAAGACTAATTACAAAGAACCTGCACGTGACAACCTCCCACCAAGGGAGGACGCAATAATTCTGTCTGCATCGTCAGCCAGTCTGCCTTATGCTTCTAATGAAAGGGAAGAACACTTCAGTAAGCATTCAGTGCTGCACTAAGACTACCAAAATGTTGACCACCCTGGTAATTAGCTGCCTCATTTCTTCTTAAATAGCGATAGTTTTCTTAATTTTTGCTTCAAGGTGGACCTTTTCACTGTGACTGTCACAGACAACTATCTTTGCTGCTCAGAACCACTCTCTCTTCTTAATTTCTTTGAAGTATGGAGTCCCTTTCTTCTTCCTTGGCTTACATGTAAATTCCAGATAAAAGCTGCATATCTGACTTAGAATTTCTCTCTCACACTTGTAATTTCTTTTGCCCTGCTGAGTTTACCGATCAGCTTCCCTGCTTTCTTGGGCTGTAGCAACGCAGGCAGAGATCCTGTCCCCAAAGCAAGGATATAGACACAGGGGTTACTCTGAAAGGTAATCTTCCATCGGTACCTATCAGTCAGTCAGGAGCTTCTATTTGATCAAAGTAAGTTTTGAGACTTACCAGACTCCTGCGCTGACATCCAATTCTGCTGAATCCACTGCATTTCCTGCTTTCTGAACAGCTGAACCATGACTGGCCAATTTCCACTTTGCTATACAATCAAGGGTCCTTTCCAACAGCACTGTTCTCATGCAACTATTACTGCTTTCAAAACTATCTGCCCATTCACACCAATACATTCTTTTAGCCTCTACTGTAACCACTTCCCTAATTATTGATATATCTACCTAGACAAAGAGTCATAGAATCACAGAACCCGTAAGAACTGGATCTCAACCTTCTCCTTGCCTGCTGTTACCAGCCTGCTTGCGTCACTCACTAGGATGGGACTTCCCTTTTCTGGCTGAGGCACCTGTAGAAGGTTTTCTTGTTCTTTTTTAACATCCCTAGCCAAGCTCAGCCTTGGCTTTCCATCCCTACACAGCTTAACAGCTTCCTTATACTCTTCCCACATATATATATATATATGTATATGTATATATATATATGTATGTATCCTATATATATATATATAGGATATATAGGATATACCTATCCCTGTTTCCACTACCTGTATGTTTTCTTATTGCTCTTCAGTTTGACCAGCCATGCTGGTCTCTTGCCTCCCTTTCCTGATTTGTTACACCCGGGGACGGAGAGCTCTTGCGCCCTGAAGAAAGCCTTCTTACAGATCTGCCAGCTCTTGCCCTTGCCCACGATCCTTGCCCATGAAGACAGTTTCCCAGGGTGTTCTGTTGACTAACTCCTTGAAGACCTGGAATTTAGCTTTCCTAAAGTTTAGCTTCGTGAATATTACCCTTCTTCTGTCTCATGTCCCTCCGGAGTGTGAACTCAACCAAAGCATGGTCACTACAGCCCAGGCAGCCTCCAATCCTGATGTCACCAATCAGTTCATTTACATTGGTGAGCAACAGGTCCAGTACTGCATCCCTCTGGTGGGGAGGAGGCTGTTCTCAGTGCATCCCAGGAGCCTCCTGGATTGCCAGCTGCTCTACTTTTCCAGCAGATGGCTGGGTGGTTGAAGTCCCCCCAGCAGGATGAGTGCTTGCAATTGTGACGCCTCCCATAGCTGGAGGGTTTACTGTGATGGTGGTGAGACATTGGAACAGGCTGCCTAGGGATATGGTTGATCCCCCATCCCTGGGGACTTTCAAGGTGAGGCTGGATCAGGCCCTAGCAATCTGATCTAGCTGTAGTGTCCCTGTTCAGTGCAAGGGATTTGGACAAGATGGCCTTCAGAGGTCCTTTCCAACTCCCGGGATTCTGTGATTCTATGATCTAAAGAATTTCTTCTTAATATCTGGCCTAAATCTATTCCCTTCCAGTTTAAAGCTGTTTCTCTTCATCCTGTCATTACGTGCTCTTATAAAAAGGCCCTCTCCAGCTTTTCTGTAGGCCCCTTCAGGTACTGGAAGGTGCTGTAACATCTCCTTGAAGTCTTCTCCAGGCTGAAGAGCCCCAGCTCTCTCAGCGTGTCCTCATAGGGGAGGTGCTCCAGCCCTCTGATCACCTCTGCAGTCCTTCTCTGGACTCCTTCCAACAGCTCCATTTCCTTCTTGTGTTGGAGGCTCCAGAACTGGATGCAGTGCTTCAGGTGCAGTCTCACAAGAGCAGAGCAGGGGGGCAGAATTGCCTCCCTTGCCCTGCTGGTCACACTTCTCTTGATACAACTCAGGGCACAGTTGGCCTTCGGGGCTGCAAGTGCACATTGCTAGTTCATGTTGAATCTTTCATCCACCGACACACCCAAATCCTTCTCCTCAGATACTCACAAGCGTCCTGGGCAAGTTTCTACATGTGAACTCTCAGAATCAGATTGATCAAAGCCAAAAGCCTCCACTCAAACTAGCGAGCTCAACTGGCTGGAAGAGCATGCATGCTTGTTTCTAGTAGGGGGACAACAATTATCCACTAACCTCAGTCACTCCAGCCTGTGTCTTACCTGTGCTGTGATCTTTGCTGTCGCAGCTGCAGCGGCAACAGCTGCTGCTGGAGGTAATCCCCCTGGTGTGGCAGGTGTCAGGAGAGGCATCGGAGGAGTCACAGCTTTACCAACTCGTAGATATTGACCCCCAAGGTCAAAGAGGTTCATAGATGAAACAGCATCTTGAGAAGACTGTGCCTTCTCATATTCTGCAATGAGAAGGAGGAATATTTAACTTCTAAATTCAACACTCTCACTGCACAAATATGATTAGTATTTGTAAAAAAAAAAAAACAATAAACAAGCCAAGCACACACACATAAAAATGACTTGAGAGCTCCAGCGAGAAGTCCCTCACTGCTTAGCCTGCTCAAGTCAGCCCTCTGATTGCAGAGGTGTTGAGAACAGTAGATGCAGTAAGACACCACTTAATCCACACAAATACTGAGCAAAAACATGAGACTATTCATTAGATTTCTAAATACAGGTGCTTATCTGCTCCAAATTTATCTCTGTCCCACTGTTTCAAGTAATTCTTGCACTGAATTAAAATTGGTGAGGACAATCCCAACAACTTTCTTTACCCCAGAGCAAATATCAGAGAGCCATTTTACCAATGAAACCATAGCCTTTGTGTTTTCCTGTTGTGGGATCTCTGGCTAGTGTGCAGGATTTAATCTTTCCGAAGGCCTCAAACACACTCTTGATGTCATCATCTGACAGGTCCTGATGTACAGAAGCCACATAGATGCGGTTGAAAGCCCGTGCCTCTTCTGCTAGTTGGTCTATAATTGGTTGTGCCTGTCCTATATTGCTCGGTCTCCCCACCTGCAGAGAACACAGCAGTCTGTGAAGCAGTCTGAATGGCAGCAGCATGACTTGCCGAGACACACAACAGGCAAGAACTCAAACAACCACTTCCTTTTCAAACCACATAACCCCTCATAGTGTCATAATCAGCAAAGGGCAACAGCTGACTCTCAGCTCTGGGATACAACCTGCACTACGATTCCAGAAGTGTGAACAGCCTGGACTGACTGCCCTGCCTTCCACCACGCTTCCCTCAAGCTAAGCAGTTTTGTTCCCTGACCTGCAGAAGAACAACTTCCAGGAAGCAAAAACAACACTGAAAGTAAAATGTAATGCTTCTATGTCCTTCTTTGAAGACTCCTAAAAGCCCTTGGAAGCAATATACCGCAAAAATGCATCAGAGAAATGCAAGATATAAAACAAGTCACAAAGAATACTAATTTTCACCCCAAAATTTCAATCTCCAAAGTTTCACCTTTTAAGAGATGATCTGTTATTGCCTGAAAATACACAGCTAAAACTGCTGCTCTTTTTAGTTTGTGCTGAAGGGTGGAGGGGTACTTGAAATTCCTCACACTATTGAGGAACAAGAGTCTGATGGCTACTACCCATCACCCACACATGCACTGTATACAAATTGCAGAAAGCATCAGGGATCATCTTTGGTTTTGTCCTCAAGAAATTCTCACAGTGTGTGCGCGTGTGTAACACTGCCAGCTTACAAGAACAAGTTTCTTGCTTTTATTAGCATGCTACAGGGGTCTGGTAAGGGACCAACAGCCACCGTGCTTAGCGCATTGAAAATGAAGATCTGTCAGGGAACAGATTTTAGATTATCTTCCACAGAACAGTGTTACAGGAAGCTTTTCTAGGCAAGAAAGCCTTTATTCACAGAGTGTTCAGAGCACGCCTGCTACTCACCTTTATATTCCTTCCTCCCAGCATGACAGAATTCATCTGCTCCAAGGCCAGCTGTGCAGCTTCAGGCACCTCGTATTCCACAAAGGCAAACCCCTAGGACAGAAGGATGATCGTGTTCAGCCCTGCCAGCTGCACCTTGTCTCAACGCCAGTGCCAGCTAACACAGCCAAGACTTCCCATCTACCAGATTCTGACTATTGTGGCCTGACAAGACCTCAAAGAAAAGAACTTAGAACTGAAAACTGCATGCTGAGGTGCAGATCCAAGGCCACTTGTTCTGTTTTCAGAGCCTCTCAGTCCTAGAGACCTAACAGACATCGCATACAGGGCTGCTAACAGTTTAGCAGCTTTTGTGCACATCTACTGGATCCTGAACAAACTAGGTAGAGCAGGCAGCTACAAACATTTATCTCAAGTCAAAGCACTAAAGCAGCCATCTATGAGAATAAAGGCTCCTTCTGCTCCTTGATAAATTCCGTAAGGCCTTCAAGAAAAGAAACACACACAACTCAAGGGCTGTTAACCAACCTTGTGCTTCATGGTAACAGAGTCCCAGGACATATCAATGCTTTTTATAGGTCCAAACGGGGCAAAGGCCTGGCGAATGGTGTCTTCTCCCAGCTCATAGTATATGGAGCCCACATAAACACGACACATGATGGCCAAGGCGCGCTGCCTCTGGGCTGCCATCTGTATTGGAAAGAAGAACTGTCTGGTTAGATCAGGGGGTGGTCATGGACGTCAGGACCTCCTCCCCTTCCTCCTTCCCTCCCAGGAGCTCTGACCCAACAGCAAGTAGCTCCTCACTGGGCTGCAGCACAGCCTGGCACACGCAGTGATAAAGAAGTATTTTCCTGCTCAATGCACAGACTGCTGGAGCGGATAAGCAGTACAGCTCACTCCCGGGGCAGTCAAATCTTTGCTGGGGTCTGCCACCGCAGGAGCCTTAACTCCAACCCCAGTGATAAGGTCTGACCCTCCCCAGCGTGATCACATCTCCAGCAACGTTTGCAGGAGGAGGAAATCACTTCATTTTAGGACAGCCTACCCCCTCCTGGCAGCAAAGGTCTCAGTTCTAGACGCTACTGCAATCCCTCCCGCTCCCTCCCTCATGGGGCAGCAAGAGATCCAGCACTGGGCACCACCTGGTCACTCCCTCCCCCCCATCCTCCCAGACAGCAAAGGACCTGGAATTGGGAACCTCCTCCCCACCCCCTTGAGCATCACACACTTCCTCCTCCCCTCCACCCACCCCAGGCAGTATGAGATCCAGTACTAGGCACCACTTCCACCGCACATTTCAAAAGGAAAACAAAACAAAAGCTAAAGTAAAAAACAAAACAAAACAAAACAAAAAAGTTAAACGAAACTTCTTAGTTAAGTGTGTGGTGCTAGTACTTATCACTGCCTGTCGTTACTGGCTCAGATAGTGGTGCAGCCCCCCAAGGCTCCGCCCTTATCAGTTTCGGTGCAGAGAAGGTCTCTGTGCTATTTTCTCCTAAGTATGCCTGAAAACCTGTTTACAAGACAAATCCAGACATTTCTTAAAGCAGGTATCCAATAAAGCAGTATCCTTCAATTATTTTTCACCCATATTGCAATGCTAGAATTGCTAATACCAATTAACATTATTTTAGGAAGATACTGCCTACTAAAGTCACAGGTTTGGCCAGCATGTCCTATGAGCACGTCTTGGGACCAAGGCAGAAGGGAAGTCTCTGTAGAGGCAGCTCCCTACAACCAGCAAGACTGAGTTAGTGTGTTGGAGGTGTGCACAGGGCTGCTGTTCTACATGGAACAGATGGGACAAACGTAGGGCAGGGAGGCTCACAGGCTGTAGCAGAGCAGGCAGCATTAAGCTTGATGCCTCTCCCTTCCCAGCACCACAATTCCTGGCACAAAGGTGGGCAGTGCTGGACAACCACGTCACCCCCACAAACTGCTGGTGAAAGGGGTCTGCAATCGAGGCCTTTATGAGTGACCCACTTTCAGAATGCTGTAACAAGCATGAGCACAATGAGCTCTGACGTATCTGGGGATGCCACGGCTCGCATGGCAGAACAGAAGGGCAGTGTTCCATCTTTGACAATCATGGGACTGTAGACATGAACTGTACCTGAAGGAATTCTTCTCCCTGACCATAGGAGGACACAAACGGTGAAGGTTCAACTCCTATTACTGCACAAAACAGGGATACTATAAACAGGAACGGTTCTCATCCCATACTGCTGCTCCTGAAGCGACATTAAACTTGCCTCTTGTTTGGATTTTAGTATTTCACAGAATTAAAAACCAGCTGTTTGTCAACAGCTAGGCAGTGCTGTGACTGGGAGGACCAGGGCACAAGCACGACAGCTGACGTGTTGTCTCCCAGGTTCTCCACCACCTTCCCAGCTTTGGTGCGTGAAAACCAGTGACCAGCAGACCCTCAGTCTGTGCACTGCATCCATTTATCGGTGCAGAGCCACCACCATTCTAACCCCGTGCCTGAGCAAAGTGCCTCACCCACGCTGACACAGACTGTGAGACAAATTTAGAGTGCCCTTGGACAAGATACTGCAGCCCTGTGTCAGGCAGAGGCAAACCCCACCTTCTGAAGACTATGTTTAAAATTCATGAGCTCCCTTCTTTTCAGTTATCAATGCAACAGTGGCAAGAAATATGACCTTTGCCTTCTCCCATGGCAGCAACCTTTAGAAGAGGATATCCACATCTTACACTGCTGCACAGATTCTGAAATAGGTGGGGCCACATTAGGGCTGTTACATCTGGAGCACATTGGAAAACCGGACTGACAAAGGCAGAATTTTGGATAGGTGACTACAGGCACACGTAGATCACTGACACGGTTCAGTAGCACCAATTTGGGGGAATGATGTCATGTATACCTGTGTGTCTGTGAAACTCATGGACAGAAGTGCACTGGCTTTCACTAACTACATCAAGTTGTTTTTGCTGGCCACTGATCCTCTTACTCCATCTCCAAACGGAGCTTAAGGTACCTGCAATCCTCATCACACGGGCAACAGTTAATATTTTTATCAGTATAATGCTGTTAAGTGTTTATGAAGGTGTTTTTAAGGAAAAGCCAAAACATCACCTTGGAATGCTGTTTTTAAACGCAGGAGGCGACGCAAAGCCATCACCACCAGCCTCAGTTTTAACACAATAACGCCAGGAAATTGTGCTCATCTTGCTGATGCAAAATTGGAATCTCAAGCTGTAATACTTGGAGGATTAAGCAGTCAGGAAGCTTTAATGACAGGCACTAGGATATCCCAATGGGAAGCTCAGGCTGCACTTCCTTCACATGGGAAATGAGGAATCTCACCAACGGGACGTGTTGGATGCAGCCAGTCTGCACTTCCTACGTTCCTGATGGGCAGCTGCTGAGTAAAGCACACCCAAACTGCACTGAGCTGTAGCACAGCGCAGCGATTCAGAGCAGGCTCCTGCCTCCAGGTTCTGCCCCATCAGCAGCACTCTCCAACTGCCCACAGTCTGAGGGAAAGGATTCATAATACCAACTATGTCCCTGAGCCTAGTGAGAAATCAATCATTTCCTGCTACGCCATCAGTACGTACTTTTCATCTACTGCCCATCTATTAACAAGCTATAAAATTTAAGAAAAAATTGGTGGAGTTAAATTAAACTGTAATTAAGCATCTACATTAACTGGTAAAGGCCACAAGGGTTCAGGAACCACCTGTGCAGAATTCACTTTGAGATACCTGCTCCTGTTCCATTCCACACATCCATCAGTTTTATCTTGGCTGTCCTGCTGACACGCTACCTAGCGTGACAGCATTACAGGAGGGAAAACAGGCAGTTTTATTTTATACTTTGGAGGACAGGCCACCAGATGCATTTTACACCAAACAGAAACATTATATTCCAACAAGATGGAAAATACTTGCAAATGAACCTTTGCATGCAGAGTGGAGCTTATTGGACACTTTCTGCAGTGGCCATTGTCCAACATGTCTAGGAAAAAGGAGGGGGTGGATAATGCCAGGTAATCAGAGTCATCGAGTTCTTTGTCATAGCTCATTAAAAACTGCAGCACTAAAGAGACACAGGTTAGCTGAGCAGCTCTGTGGTTCTGTCACTTCCATCACGTTTTAACTTGACTTGAAACATACCGTATTCACCTAGTCTGGACATTTGTACAGTAAGAACACTCTTACACCTTGGCTACAGTATGTTCTGCAAGCCTGCAGTGCCCCAGCCTTCCCCAGCACTGCGGCTGCCAGGCTTCTGCTGCTGTCAGTTTGCTTCATTAAGAAATTGCCCATTTGTGAGTTACCTTGGCAGTTAGTTTTAGGTCAGGACCTCAGAACTGCAGCGTCCCTAGAAATGCAGCTCCCACAATTTCACAGGTGTGTTCAGTACTGTTCGAAATCTAAAGCTGTCTTTGCCAACTGACTCCAGGGCCCCGACTGCCCGTGTCCCAGCAGACTGCACTCAGCCCACAGGGTCTTCCTCTGGGGAGTTTACACTTTGCCTCTGCTTGCTGTGCTTGTCCATAACAGGTGGGTAAGTGGGAGGGTTGTGCTGGGTTGAATTAAGAGCATTGTATCACCGCTACATACTTCCCCATTCTAGTCCCTGACTAAGTGCCCAAGAAGAAGTGAATATGTCTATTGACCGATTGTAAAGGTGAGAGAGGATCTCCAAAGCCCATTGTCACTGCTGCCATCTGAAAGACAGTAAAGACAGAGTTCAGTCTGTTGGAGCTGAGCATACTACGGCTGTTTGTACAAACTCAAGCAGAGTGGCGGCACAGGGAACCTGTGAGAGAGGCCTCTCCTTCCTCTCCCCTCACTGCCTGGTCCCAAGGACTGTCCAGCGCTGGGACCCTGCAGATTCCAGGCCACCAGGTCAGGGTGGAGTTGTGCTGCTGCCACTGCCTCAGGAAGCAGGGTCTTCTCCCAGGGGGGACTCAAGGCAATAGTAACCTCTGCAACCACTGTCGTTGATTCACCCCCAGCATTTAAAAAGAAGCCCCTCAAACTAGAGCGGCCACTCAGAAACACGCACGGCCCTGACAGGCCGGAGCTGCCTAATGTGGCAAGCACATCCACAGTGACACTTCATTAAACACATCCAGACCCCGGAACCATTATTTTGGGCTTCCCAACTGAATAGAAAGCAGTGAGATGTGTTGAAATCTCCAGCAGAAGGGAGATGTAAATGGCAGTTCAATTGCAATCCTTTCCCAGGATGTAAGCATTGCAGCCTAAATTTCAGGAACAGCCAATGACTTCCCAGCGAGGCCGGCAGGGCACGGCAGGGGCTGAAGGGGAACAAAATGGGGCAGCACTGTCAACAACAGAGGAGAGAGAGCACCTTCCCCTGAATTGGGAAAGATGGTGAAAGGATACTGATCTCAGTAACCCCAGACACCACCTTACATGTAAGCTGAAGGGGAAACCCACAGCTAATTCTTTAGCTGCTGGCGTTTTAAGAAATGTTTGGCCAACTAACAGGAGAGAAACTCTTTTAACAATTTTCTCTTTGAATACATGAATCGGGGGGGGGCAATCTGTACAGGTGAGCAAAGGGCATTTCTTTAGAGGGCTGAAGGCAGTATACTTCGATTTCACTGTGGAAATAGAAGTGCTTGTACCTGGCTCCGGGCATGCCTCAGGGCTGTGCTCTGCTTCTAAGTGTAAAAAGAACTCCACCTTGTGGGGGAGAGTAAGACAGAAAGAGCATCTGGGAAGGCCTCTCACCTGCAGGTTGGTTAGCTGTTGTTGCTGGTGGGCGATGGTTTGCTTCACCAGCACACTCTTGATGCTCTGCTCCATCGCATACTTCTTTGCCTACGAGGAAATACAAGGCTCTGTAATCACAAAGCAATACCACAGAACACAGAATGACATTTGACTTCACACCATCGCTCCCCAGAACCACACAACTGGCTGCCAATGGTGCTTTCTGGTGCTCCAGCCCTAAGCACTACGGCACGGTACGTTAGGCAGCAGCCAGCAGCTCACTAACGTCTCGGTCTGCATCTCGGAGTTGCAAGCCCTGAAATACAGCACAATGCTTGAGCAGAGGGTTGGATGGACTCGATCTGCAGCAGGCGCAATGTTAGGAAAGCAGCATGCACTACACACTCAGTATTTCCCCTCTTCCTCCCTCTGTCCCTCAGATCCCACCGCAGCACCTTACCTGCCGGGATGAGGGCAGCACAGATAGCCTCCTTCAAATCCTTTCCACTCAGAACATCTGGACAAAGAGGTTCTACAGAAGGGAAAGGGGCTCCTAATGCCCGTGCCCAGTTTCTTGGCTATGCACTACCCCTCCCTTGCCTCATCACATCTGTCCTCTTCCGACTTGAAGGACCCACTGCTCACGCTCACTGAAATGCTCCAGCATTCCAGTTCCTAGCCTATGGACACAAAGCTGATTCATCTCTTTTATTCAGTCTTCTAGAGATTTGACAAAGCCCAAGCGTTACACCCAGCGGTGTTAGAATGGTGGCTTTTTGTCAAAGGAAACCTAACACCCACAGATGTGCCTGTGCCCACGGGACAAACACTTTCAGCCAAAACCCCTCAGGCACCTGCTGTCCGTGGCTGTACGTGTTTGGGAGGTGCCAGGGAACAGTAGGCTCTAAACCGTGGATTTGAGACGTGTGCTTCGGAAACCTGGAAATGGACAAGGGGAGGATGTACATCTGTCAGCTACGGAGAAGCCAGAGGAAACGAGGCCGTCTCACACTGTGAGCCAAACACATACACAAGCAGCTTCAGCACAACGGGAACATTCACATGAAGCCTACCCACAACAACGCTAGGCTCACCTCACCAGGATGCAGAAGGCGCCTACCCCACAGCTCCCACATCCCCTGGTTTGGTTCTCTTTCTCCTCTTTTCCCAGTTTTGCTCTCAGCAGCAAAGTGGGCCACAAGTCAGCTGTAAGCTCCCCACCAGCTGCACAAAGCGGTACCAGAAACAGAGCTGGACTGAAGTTTCAGCTACATTAAGGCTCGAGTGGGATTGCAAATTGCTGCGTGCTACTGGGGCTCCTCGTGCGGAAAGGAGGGTAAGGGGACAACATATTTTGTCATGCGTTCTTGTGTGGATGAAATGAGATAGCTGGAACATATCAGAATCCTACTGCTTCTGGTGTAAGGCTGCTCCTCACAGGAACTCTGTGGCAGTTATATATTGTCTCAGAATTACAGTGTGATCTACTTATGATTTGGATTTATATATAAAAAAAAAATTACAGCTCCTACCCCAGTGGTAATTCCATGATGTGCTCTCCAAAAGTCATCTTTAAACTGCAAGCTAAACCAAGCAATCCTTGGGCACAATGCTGAAGGTGTGAATCCACAGAAAGCACACACATTACCCCTGCACATTGCTGGCAGGTGAGTTCTGCTCTTGTAATATCAACAATAAAGGTGTGTTTCAAAACACAGCAAAAAATAGCAACCATCAAGCAAATAAAACTAAACCAAAAAAGTAAAACCAAATGAAGAAAAAAGAAGAGTGATTAAGTGTGAGACAGAGTGACGTGGGGTATACTCACCTTCTGGAGGGCCTCCTGCTGCTCTGGTGTGAGGGGGGGAAGCCCCAGTTTGGCTGCTGTGCTTTGACCATTTTCCATCTTAATGGACTCTGTACCCTAAGGAAATAGAAAAGCACTCGTGGAAAAGCTGTTCTGACAAAACCATGCAGATTAAGTATTTCCAGAATCTCAATGTGTCAGCATTGGCTAAAAAGCCTTCCCAAACCTGCTGGTATGTTATGCAAACCTGTTCTCAAACGCTATGGCCCCTTCCCACGGAGCACTATCCAACCACTGTACAAAGTGACAAACAACCTGGCAGCTCAGGCTGAAGAGTTCCCCAACCATCACATTTTCAACAAAGAAAAATTAAATAACTTCCAGCCTTCACTTACACCACCTCCATTCCATCCCCCAACAGTTCCACTCCACCAAACATCATCACCCATTCTCTCCATCACTCCCTACACCGGTTTGTTACCCTCAGTTTCTCACATTCTCTTTTTCAATCTTCTCTCACTTCTCCAAATTAAAACACTGCTGTAGGTCCCGAGTCACACCACCACCATTCTCACCCCTGGTACAATGCACATTACCTGCACGTGCAAAGTCCCACGCCCAACACAGGAATGAAAGGAGCTGCTGGGCTCCTGAACTAACATCTCATGGTTTCACTGATGTATGAAATCCTTCTTTGGGTTTAATGTATCCTACTGCCTTCATACTTGTGTTTTACACCAAGATTTCTTCCTGTGATGTAACTGACTGCTTATCCACACCATGTAGGTAACACTTTTCTAAGGCACGTGCATTGCAACAGCTCACACCTGCCTGCTAAGCACCCACCAACTCATATTCTTAACACGTGCTCTGGCATCCCAGTCCCCATCACATCACTGCCAGTCACAGTAAGGCTCGTCTCCGAAATCCTTTTAGTGGGCATCTCAGTTCTCCAGTTAAAAACAAATGAAAGAATATGTCAGAACTCTCCAACAAGAATGGGGAGGAGAAAAAGAAAAAGAAACAGACCCTCTCAGGTTCAGTCAGTAAAACAAGAGCAGCTCTCCTGGCACTGCAGCAAAGCCGTTACATGGGAAAAACCAACAGCATGAAAGTAACCAGCAGCTTAGCAGCAGTACTGCCATTCCTTCTGCTCATCTGGTTCCCATCCGTTCAAACAGAGCACTGACTGACAGTGAAGAGTTTCCCTGCACGCACAAACACTGCTGACAGACCAGCGGTCCTCCCCACAAAAAGGATCAAGCTCTTACAGCCCTGATCCCAAAACAGAGACCAGCAAAGAGCTGCTTCTTGGGATCACCTGACGCCTCAGAGAGGAAAACCCGTTCTGCTAAAAGCAAGAGATCTGCATCACATCTGCACGCAAACTCTGCACTTCATCGCGTTCTCTTTATCCCACCACAAGCAGAGGCAGCACGCAGTGCTAGCAGGCTGCTGCTGCAGCTCCCTGTGAGGCACAGGGCTGCGTTACATCCAGCACCAGAACTGGGGTTCAGGCACTGCACACACACAGTCCCCCTAAGGAGCCACACGCACTGCAAGAATGCTCCAATACTTTAACCAGACAAATTCCTTCCATAGCAGTGATGGACACCACCTCAACACTAATGCAGCTCCAGTACATTCGTGTTATTCTCAATGCAGGGTAATAATTTGATTTTGAAATTGCCATGGAAATAACAGAGGTTGCCAAGTTCAAGAGGTGAACAGCAGAGAGAAGGGAAATGCCACATATCTGTGTTCTCAGCAGACACCCTAAGGTACAGACCCAAAACAACCATCCTCAAGCCCTCCCACTGAAAAGGGTGGAAGAAGGGCCTCCTCTGCAGCCTACAGAACCTCCTCTGCAAGCTCCACCTGCACCAACAGAAGCTCAGATGCAGCGATCCTTAATATCGGTGCCACCAAGTGCCTCCCCTGAGGACACACCTGATCCATTCACAGCCAGCACAGAGCTCTGCACCAACAGCTGGGGCTGCCTCAGGACTGCAGCTCCCTTCCCTGGAGGCAGCGCTGCCACTGATCCTCCCACCAGCAAACCTGGGGGAAAGCAATGCTAATTGGTGCTCAGCCAGCTCATTAACCAGCTTCTTGTTTTTAATCTGGGCATAAAGTGGGATAGCATTCCTTCTAAGAGGACACGCTTCCTAGAGGTGTCTGTGCCCCATACCTGTCAATGTTTAAAACACATCTGGATAATGCTCTCACTGATGCTCTGACTTCAGGCTGGTCCTGAGGCAGTCTGACAGCCAGACCCACCCAGTGCTGTAGGCCTCACTGCGGGGACTATTCCTACCAGAGCACCCTGCTGGATTAGAGATTCCTTACAATGAGGTAAACAGTCCTCATTTTCCCAACAGAATTCTGTTCTTTCCTTGTGCAGACCTGATCTGACTTCCATTCACATGGATGTAGAATCACAGAACCACAAGGTTGGAAAGGACCTACAAGATCACCTAGTCCAACCGTCCTCCTGTCACCATCACTACCACTAAGCTTCTACACCATATCTCATAGCACCCCATGCAGATACCTCCTGAACACAGTGACTCCACTCCTTCCCTGGGCATTCCAGCACCTGACCACACTTTGAAAGATGTTGTTTTTCCTTATACCTAATCTAAATCTCCCATGGCACAACTTGTGGCCATTTCCTGGGGTCCTATTTGTTGCTTGGGAGAAGAGGAAAGATACCGTGCCATGGCAGAAACTGCCTTCCTACAGAATCAGAGGAAGAAGTGAGAACGGACCACAACACTGTGGCCCCACAGCTGCAGCCATCCGTCCCACACCAGGACTGCATCCTTGGCCTGAAGCCACACACCTGCACCTGCTCTGCTGCCTGCATCATCCATTAAAGCAGAACTCAGCTCCTCTCCCAAACACCTTAAAATCCCAGACTGAACAAATACCCCATCTGTCCTGCAGCAGGGAGGTATCAGGCTGAATGGACCTCTGCATGCAAAGTGGTACCAGTATAAGAATTACCACGGGGCAAACCTAAGATAAGAACAGAATGCATGAATGTAAGTCCATCCTTTACCCACTGAAAGGTTCCTCCCAGTTCAGTCCGCCTGTCTCAGTGTACCACCGAGGTCTGCATGCTGCCTCCCAGCAGGTCACAGCACAGCTGCTGCTCTGCAGGGCAGCAGGGCAGGGAGCTGCATATGGACAGCAAATGGAGCTGCAGGGTGAGCTCACTGACATCCAGAGATGTCCTAAATCATTCATAGCCTATTCCATAGCAAATCCTGACTGTGCGACAGTCTCGAGCTCATCCTAAGGAGGCTGTGAGCATTTTCTGGCATAACAAACACTAAGCAGATGTTAAATCATAGAATCCTAGAATGGCCTGGGTTGCAAAGGAGCACAATGCTCATCCAGTTCCAACCCCCTGCTGTGTGCAGGTCACCAACCAGCAGACCAGGCTGCCCAGAGCCACATCCAGCCTGGCCTTGGATGCCTCCAGGGATGAGGCATCCACAGCCTCCTTGGGCAACCTGTTCCAGTGCCTCACATCCAACCTAAACCTCCTCTGGCTCAGTTTAAAGCCATTCTCCTTGTCCTATCACCATCCACCCTCACAAACAGCCGTTCCCCTCCTGTTTATATTCTCCTTTCAGGTACTGGAAGGAAATAAACCATGCTAACATAAATACCCACTACGCAAGCATTGGAACACAACATTCTGGAGTTGCAATTGCTTCACTGGATCCCATGGACCACAGTTCACAACTCCTTTAAACAACACAGGGAGCTGAGGTGAATTAAAAAGAGCAAAAAGAAAAGCTGACACACAAATAAGAACAGTGGCAGTTGGAACCACTGCATTCTTCAAACTGGGAAGCTCAGGAGCACAATGCTGATCAGAAGGAAGCACTGCACAGCCCACACTAACACTGAGAACAGGAAGCAATCAGCAAAGCCATACAGCAACGGTGATCTGTGCAGTGCAGGAAGGCTATGCCATCTCCAGGATTAATTGTGACCACGGAACACTGAAAAAAAGCCAATGTGCTTCCCAAGTGCGTGAGGGTAACAGCACTACCAAGAAAAGCCTCAGCACTATGAAGGTGGAGCTGTCAGGCAGCAGTAGGACAGCAGTTCTGGAAAAGCAGGCTGTGCTTCACACTGTGCTCCTTGCAAACTGCCTCATTCCAACAGCAGAGAGCAACAGGAACGCGTGTCACGCCGCCAGCAGGAGGGAGAACGCGAGCTGCCTTTACAGAGAGAGAAACACAAACTATACCTGGTGCTATGGACACTGCTTCTGAGCGCTGCGAGGCCCTTTGAGTGGTTTGAACTCCAAGAGTTCAGGCACATCCCTTGGAAATCTATTACAGGGCTGAGAACTTCTCTGAAGTACAAACACACACAAGAGAAAAAAAATACAGAGGCTTGTTTATTTTAGGAACCATAACAAGTGAGCAACACAGGAGATTAAATAAGGTAGGAGTGGAAAAAGGACTGATGATACTTGAGGAGTAATTAACTTAGCAAGAAGCTTCACCTAATAGCCGTCCTTCCAACAGCACTGCCAGGTGTGCCGCACAGAGAAGGGGCAGGCATTTAAACCTTCTGAAACACAGCATCATTCTAGCATCCTGGAGTGCTTGAATAACCACATGTTTGTGTGAGCAACGCCTCCTTCATAGAAGTGAAAAACGAAATTCTGCAACATATTTCACGGATGCTATCTGGCAGCATACTCAATTCTCCCAGAGCTCTAAATTCAATACAAATCCAACTTCTGAAAATATGGGAAGTCTTAAAAACACACACAAACAAATGAATCATGCTCCCCTGACAGTTCTTATGATGCTTTGTAAACTACTCTCAGCTGCATCAGAACTGAGACATTCAAAACAACACCATTCTGGACAGAAACACAGAACTGCCCAGGTAGGAAAAGACCTCAAAGATCACCGAGTCCAACCACAGCCCAACCATCCGACCCCAACCCTAACAGCCCTCTGCTAAACCACGGCCCTGAGCACCACATCCAGACAGCTGTTAAACACATCCAGGGATGCTGACCCAACCACCTCCCTGGGCAGCCACTGCACTGCTCAGCAGCCCTTTCTTAGAGAAGTTCCTCCGGAGATCCAACCTGAACCTCCCCTGCCACAACTCCAGGCCATTGCCCCTCGTCCCGTCACCTGTCACCAGTGAGCAGAGAGCAGCCCCGCTCTGCTGCAATCCCCTTTCAGACGCTGGAAGGGAGCGACAAGGTCTGCCCTCAGCCTCCTCTTCCCCACCCTGAACGGCCCCAGTTCCTTCGCTCTCTCCTCAGAGGCCATATTCTCCAAGCCCTTCCCCAGCCTCGCTGCCCTTCTCTGGCCCTGCTGCAGCACCTCCACGTCCTTTCCGTACTCGGGTGCCCAAAACTGAACCCAGCTGAGGGTGAGGCCTCAACAGTGCTGAGTACAGCGCAGGACGACTTCCAGAACTACTCACTACACAATGCCCTCCTGTCCATCATCTCAGTCCCTTGGGGAAAAGTCACTGATTGCCCAATGAAGTGTCAGTATGTCAGCCACAAAGCACAGCACCTGGGAGGGAGCGCTGTGGACAGAGGACAAAGCCAGGGGGGCACCCAGAGGTACTGCACTAAGGCAGCATTTGCAATGAAACGACATCAAGAGCCAATACTCCAAGCTGCAATGTGCACTGACGTTTCCACAGCACTGCTCTAACAGCAAAGGTCTGAATGGTATGAGTGCACCTGCACCTGTCCAGGCCCTAAAGAAAGGAAAAGATGCCATAACAGAATTACAGACACGATGCCATGTGGAATAGCGTGTCACCTGTCTGCCTGTCCTGCAAGCAGAGAGACACGGCCTACAGTAACAGCAGGGGATAAAGGGATCCAAAGGAAGTGCTGAGAAATAAATGCAGATGGAGAAGAAACAGCAGAGCTACCCTAGGTAAACAATAGTAACATTCTGGGTAAGGAAATGCCTCAAGACGGAGCATTGGTGCTAACTGACTGCATGTGGCATTCAGCAAGTTAGAGCTGTAAAACTACCTCAGTACACAGCCTGCTTCTACGTGAAGTTCAGGTGTGGGAAATAAGGATCCTTTTTCTCAGTGACACAGAGATCAGGAAAAGAACAACTTGGGGAAGGTGGGATGGAAGACAGATGAAGAAAGGGTGAATCCCATCTTGTCTACTAAAATAGTGTGATGTTTACACAAAATGCATTCAACAAATGTAAACTGGTGGACTCAATACCCGATAAATCTGTGGCACCAGATAAGCACGCAATGAACATGAAAGTGATCAAACATTGTGCAGCTTTTACAGGATTTATAAGACCCAATTCAATCTCCTTAAAAAATGCATTGCTTTTGACAAAGGAACATCCTCTCCTTTCCATTTTTTACTGTTTTCCCAATTAACTGCTTCCAGTACAACAGCAGAGCCCATACTGGACATCTCCATTCAGAAAGTTAGCTGAGAGCAAAACCTATGTTTGCAAAACCCCAGAGCTCTGTTTGTCTTTACTGAACTCATTTTGCCCTTCACTCTCCAGCTTTTCCAGCCAGCCACCACAATCTCAATTATCCCGGAGCAGAAAAGCACTACAGATGCACTGAGAGAAACAATTTGTGCAGCAGCACTGAAGTGACTCCAGGCACATCAGAGCAGCCTGCTTCCCTTCCAGCACAGAGGGGATACTTAAAGCAGCGAGAGGCAGCGATACTGAACTTGGAAGGAAAGGTGCCAGTGATCACACACAGCATGACTGATGGCTGGGATGTTCAACTCAGTCTGTATCTTAAGGGCTATAAACAAGTGTGGGTCAGTAAAAACATGCAGTGCCTCCAATCGCAATGAATTAACACCATACTGGATGGTCAGATCCAGCTGGTTTCAGGAAGATCAGAACAAAACTCACATAAAAACCACACAGACCGTTAAGAATCCCTCCATGCCTCATCCACACCACTGAGACCTGCATGGATGGGGCCTCCATCACTCCTCTGGCCAGCCTGCTGCAACTCACGACCACTCTCTTTGAGTAAAAATTGATACACTCAAAACATGCACATCATTCCTCATCTCCCATCCCTGTCACATGCTGAAGTGCTCCCTTCAGTCCCAGGACTGCTGCTGCCAATTTCTAGTGTTCACCTACACACCAATGCTACATCCCAGCTGCTGCTGCCATGGACAGCCATTACAGGAACCTAAACTACATTTAAGTTCATAGAGCCAATGTTAACTCTTGGTTAACACCAGGTTCATTAAAGCCTGCTTGGACTCCATGCAATGCTTTGTCTGTGGGAACACTCACATTAAGCTGACACTGTGAGCTGCACAGAATCACAGAATGGTTGGGTTGGAAGGGACCTCAAGGATGACGAAGCTCCAACCCCCACCACAGGCAGGGCCACCAACCTCCACATTTCACAGCAGCCCAGGCTGCCCAGGGCCCCATCCAACCTGGCCTCCAACACCTCCAGGGATGGACGGGGCATCCACAGCCTCTCTGGGCAGCTGTTCCAGCACCTCACCGCTCTCACAGCAAACAACTTCCCCCTCACATCCAACTGAAATCCGCCCTCCCTCAGCTTCAAACCATTCCCTTGTCCTGCTGCCATCTCCCCTTCCCAAGAGCTGACTCCCCTCCTGTCTGTAGGCTCCCTTGAGGTGCTGAAGGCTGCAATGATTCACCCCGCAGCTTCTCTTCTCCATGCTGAACGAGCCCAGCTCCCTCAGCCTGTCTTTGTACGGAGGTGCTGCAGCCCCTGCTCATCTCTGTGGCTCCTCTGGCCCCTCTCCAACAGCTCCCTGTCCTTCTTGTCCTGGGGGCTCCAGCCCTGGACGCAGTGCTGCAGACGGGGCCTCACGAGAGCAGAGCAGAGAGGGACGATCACCTCCCTGTCCCCGCTGCCACCCCTCTGCCGATGGAGCCCAGGATCCCATTTGCTTTCCGAGCTGCAGGAGCACACTGCTGCCTCGTGTTAAGTCTTTCATCCTCCAGGACTCCCAGGTCCTTCTCCGCAGGGCTGCTCTCCTGGACTTCTCCTTCTAGTCTATATAAATGCCCGGGATTCCTCTGGCCCAAGTGCCAAACCTTGCATTTTGCTGTGTTGAACCTCATTAGCTTCACTTGGGCCCACCTTTAAAATCTATTGAGATCCATTCAACCTGAATACTCAGCATTAGAAGGTAATTAAACAAAAATAATCCAACTCCTTACGCTTACTGTGCTTTGCTGCTAAGAAGGGTCAATCCTAATGCTAGACATGTAGGAAAGCAACTCAAGAGACAAAGGACAGTCGTTGCCTCAACTCTGAGGGAGAACTAACATTTTACTCTCATATATCTTGAGCAACGCAACATTCCTTTCATCCTTCATCATCATTGGAATCAAATTTAGCCTTACATGCTTAAAGCTTGAACGCTTCTTCCCAGCATTAATTTGGCTAGTTGCCTAACCTAACGAAGACCTCATTAAACAAGATAGAAATCAAGCTCTGAGTTACTTGTATTTACTCCTGATTCTGAGCACCAATATTCATGAAGTGAAACCAGGAGGGCTCTAAGAAACACATCCTTCATAGTACAAAGGCAGACCCTTGTGTGGGTTTAAGGGTAACAGCTTTAGAGGCAGTTCTGTTCACAACAAAAATCCAACATTTTAATGAAAACAATGGCGGGGTCAGGAAGCAGAAAACACAAAAACATAGCAAAACATCCCGCTGTGCCACACCAGTGGTCCATGCAAAGCTGTGAGCATCAGATGGTGCCTGGGGGGGCACATCAGCACAGCCACCCTTTTGGTAGCTCCTCAGCATCCATTTTCACACCGCAGGCTCCCCCAGCGGTGTGACACAGCAGAGGTTTTGTGCTTCCATTTCACACAATTCCATTTACAATTCTGTATTTTGCAAAAAAACAAAAAACAAAAACAAAAAAAAACGACAAGAACAAAACAAATTAGTCCAAGAAAGGCTGAGCAGCACCCGAATGAAGCATTTAACTTCCAAAATTTGAGACTTCACTCACACAGAAAACAAACAAGCCTCTGAAATGAGACTTCTGGTTTCACACAGCATCAGCAATTCCTTGAGAAAAAATCTACTGAACCATATGAAAACACGACGGACTCCTACAAAACGGGTACGGCTGGGATCCCTTCACGAGCAGATAACCTGACAGCAAACACAAAAACACCCAACGCCTCAGGCGCGCAAAGCCCTTCCATCAGAGCTGAAACCACCAGCCCAACCTCGGGGCCATACGCCACGAGGCCTCAGGGCAGAACACATTCTAAAATACGCTAAAATTCTCTGATGACAACAGCGAGAACTTACTTCCCGAACGAACCTGCGGGCACCAGGGCGACGTGCCGGTCTGCAGAGCCGCAGCCCCGGCCAGCAGCGCCAGGACAGGCCGCAACTCGGCCCCCGACACAGCGCGGGGCGAACAGAGGGCCCCAAGCGGCAGCCGGGCCTCGGGGAGCCGCGTGACGGCCCGAAGGAAGCCGAGCCAAGCCGGACCGAGGCGAGGCGAGCTGCCCGCCCGATCCAGCCCGGACCGCACAGAGCAGAGCCAGCTCGGGCTGCGACTCACCAAAGAGATGGTCGTTGTGGCCGCCATCTTGTCCACCCCGTCGGCGATCGGCACGGAACTCTCGCGAGAACCTTCAGGGGCGCGCAGAAGGGTAACTCTCGCGAGAGCTCCTGTAGAAAGACTCGGGAGAACATCTCGCGAGAATTCGCGTGAGAGCGGGCGGGACGACGGAATTGGCGCGCCAGCCTCGCTCTGCTCTGCTTCCGCTTCCGCTGCCACGCCCCAACCCGTCGCAGAGCGCCCCCTGCGCGTTGGGCGGAGTGCTGAGCCCGCGCTGGGTGCTGCGGGGCTGCTCCAGCACTGTGAGCCTGGGCCATTTTGCTCTGCTCCTCGGGCGGCCCAATCTTTTGTGCACAGATTTAAATGCACGCGCAAGGTCAGACCAGTGGAAATGCCATTTCTGCCACAGAGGCTGGAAATGCCACAGGAATTTTATGGATCCTTTGGGTTCTGATAAACGATTCAGAAAGTTCAAGCCAATAAAGCTTCCCAAAGGCAGCGCAATGACTTAACATCTCACTGCTGATGGCCAGGAAGTTCTGCACTGCAAAGCATCTCTTTTTCAGCTAGCAGAAAAGGTGCAACGTGTGAATTAGAACACAAAACCGACGTGCCTTACTTCTAGCCTGAATTTAAGTGCGAGCAGTTAACCACTGGCAGACTTTAACTCCTGAGGCTCAGTGGGCTCCTACACTGTGCAATTGCTAGTGGCTGTAGACCTTCTAGTCTGTAGATCTAGCAGATCTTCTAGTAGATACTCTGCAAGATGTAGAGTACATGGCAGCCAGAGGCCAAGAAGGCCAATGGCATCCTGGCTTGTACCAGAAATGGTGCAGCCAGCAGAGCAGGAGGTGATCATGCCTCTGTACTCAGCTCTGGTGAGGCCGTACCTCAGTGCTGTGCTCAGTGTTGGGCCCTCACTGCAAGAAAGGCACCGAGGCCCTGCAGTGTGTGCAGAGAAGGGCAGCGGAGCTGTGAGGGGTCTGGAGCACAAATCCTATGGGGAGCGGCTGAGGGAATGGGATTGTTCAGTGGGGAGAAGAGGAGCTCAGGGGTGACCTTATTGCTCTCTACAGTGACCTGAAGGGAGGTTGTGGTGAGCTGGGGTTGGCCTTTGCTCCCATGTAGCAGTGATGGGATGAGAGGGAATGAATGGCCTGAGGTCAAGCCAGGGGAGATTCAAGTTGGATATTTGGAAAAACCTCTTCTCCAGAAGAGTGGTCAGGAGCTGCAACGGGCTGCCCAGGGAGGTGCCCAGGGAGTCACCGACCATGGAGATGTTCAAGGAACATTTAGATATACTGAGGACGTGGTTCTGTGGGCGGTGACAGGTGGGAGGTTGGACTGCATGACCTTGGATGTCTTTTCCAACCTTTGTGATTCTAAAAAGCACCCAGGATGGCTGAGCCTTTCTTAGTGAGACCAGCTGCAATATAGCTGGCAGTGAATGAGATTTGTTTGTGTTTCTGATAGCTGGGGAGAAAAGTTTTTCCTTAAGAATTTGGGATATTATTCACACTATTGCCTTCACGTAATACATTTGTAAGGACGTAACACTGGGAAATCTGGATGATCTTGGATGTCTTTTCCAACCTTTGTGATTCTATGATTTTATGTGCCATACCTAAGCATTCTTGATATATGGACAGGAATTTCAGGCATTGTGAGCTGACAGACCTGACCATAAGTGCCAAGGACACAATCCCCTCCCTTGTCTGGCAGGACTGCTGTCTGAGTTGGAAATACGAGGGCAGGATTTCCATTCTTGTGCTGGTGACAGTTCTGCAGAGAAGGCCATGCACGTCTCTCTGGATGCTGAGTTGTGGGCCTGCAATACTCCTGCTGCAAAGGAGGCCCAAGGCCACCTGAGCTGCCCCAGGAAAGCCTCATTAACTGGCTGAGGGCAGAACCCTCCTCTGCTCCTCTCTCATGAGGCCCCATCCAAAGCACAGAGCCCATGAAGCGCAGACTGCCTAGATGGCAAAGGGCCTGGAGGATTGGTGGGAGAGTCTGAGAGCTGGGGTGGCTGTACATCAGTGTGAGCAAATGCCTGATCAGTGAGTGGAGAATCATGGAATCATAGAACAGGTTTGGTTGGATGGGTCTTTAAAGACCATAGAACCATGGAGTGGTTCGTATTGGAAGGAGGCTTAAAGATCATCCAGTTCCAACCCAAGAAGATGGACCTAGGCTGTTCTTGGTGGTCCCAGCACTGGGACAAGAGGCTGAGCAATGGGCCCAAATTGAAAAAATGGGAAAATATTTTTTTCAGTGAGGTTGGCTGAACACTGGCATGGGTAATCCAGAGAGGCTGGATGTCTCCACCTGTGGGGGTTCTCAGACCTGACTGGCCATGGGTACAGGGCACTGGACCACCCAGCACTGGGCTGGAGGACCACAGAGGGTGGCTGGACCTCGAGTGGTCCTCTCCGACCTCAGATCTTTTGTGATGCTGTGACTGCTGCCTGACATGTGCTTGAAACATCCTGCAGCTGCCAGTTAACAAACATACTGCTGAGTGCAGCCAGTACGAGGAAGATGCATCACTCAAGCTGAGCTGTAATGACATTCAAAGAATTGAGTCAGGTGAAATGTGCTAAAGAATAGCTCTCTGGCTGATTAGGGAAGCAGCAGCTGGTGTATGAAGGCATTTCTTAGTTTGCAAAGGCAAGTGCAAGCTTGTTCTGGAGAAAGCAATTTCTGCATCACACAGCTGAATGCTGTTTTTCTTGTGAATGCCTGCTCTATCCAATTTACCCGACTTTGTTGGATCAGCGTTGAACTCGAGGAAGCCGTTTCACTCTTCTTAACTGTAAGAGTGACTAAGAGATCACTGAGTGCTCGCTCAGCAGACCAGCTCCTCGCATGAGACAAGCTGCTTGCAATGGCTTTATTGATTTGTCAGTTCTGTCAGGTTGGCACAGCGCAGCGCGACTGGGAAACACAGCACAACTGACAGCTCAGCGCAGCGTGGCGGCACGGCAGACCCAGCCATACAGTTGGTGCAGCACCACAAAGCACAATGCAGGCAATGGAAGAGTTGGCACAGCGCAGCACGGCAGCAGGGCTGCTCACAGCACGACGTGAGCAGCATGGAGCGCAGCACAGCTTTTGCTACACAAATCATTTCTGTTGGTGGTTTTTACCAATGGAACCCAATGTGCAGCAGCTACGATTGCCCCTTTCTACGCACAAGCGATGGAAGTTCCAAACACCCCAGGACACACAGGGAAGGAAGAGACATAGGGGTTTTTCCCCTTAGGATACCGTAAGATTTTTGAAGGCCATGAGACAAACAGGAGTGAAAAAGGTTCTGTTCAGCACCAGTGACATTTCTGCTGTTCCCCGTGTTGGGATCCAGCTGGTGGGTTTGGATTGCTGCAGTTGCTTCTCCTGCTGTGCCAAGTCCAGCTCACAAAGTCCACCTGTCAGCTTACACCAAGATGCAAGCTTCTAACTGAAAGGCATCACAGTGGTTCATCTGTGCATGGGAAACCTTAAAAAAACAGCAGGAAATGGAAACAGAGGATGGAACGTGGCAGATTGCAAACTATGCTGGAGCTTTCCTCCCTTCCGCACCCATCACCAGCTGGCAAAGAGGAAAAAAAAAGAGCTTTAGGACCTGCAGTGAGAAAAGCTTATCACTCCCAGAGGCAAATTTATCAGTCTGTGGGACTCTTGCAGCAGCTCCTCATCTTCACAAACACCGTCAGCACTCCCCCAGGCCCCACAACTCCTTCTGGATTGCTGCTCCAGGAGTAGGAGCTGGGGCACGTGCTCGTGCAGAGGCCATTCCTTGTGTTATAGCTGGTTGCTATTCCACTTGCTGTTGTCTTTCCACGCCACAACAAAGGCATACACCTCTCATGGACTGCAAAGATTCAGTCTGGAGTGGCCCCGCTGGAGGAGTTGGTTCCAGAGCCCGTGGTTGCTCCTTGCTGGGTTTGTGCCCGTCCCCATAGCGCAGGGACCCCGCTGCCCCAGGGGTGACTCACAAGGGAGGAGACCGGTGCTTGTGGAAGGCATTTTCCAGGAAGTTAGCCAGTTTCTCACAGTCATCCTAAATATAGAAGAAAGAGCAAGCCAACAGATTAGTTTGCCATGCTTTTTCCAGCACACGGGAGAAAGCACTCTGCTGTTTCAGTTCCAAGCTGTGCAGTTGCTCTGCTCAGATGAAGAAAAGAAGGAAGTCTAGACACACTTTTTTTTTTCCAGGCATACTCACATATATTTTTCAGTGAACGAAGCTAAGCCCTGCCTTATCTAATGTCAACATCCAGAATGAGAAATGCTTCAAAACTTTGCCTACAGCCCCAGAATTCCTAACTTGTACAAAATAAAAGAAATAAACGCATTTTTCATTTCCTCCACACTCCTTTACCCTGAGGCCGTGCTGCCCAAATGACTGCACAGCTCTGCATTCCTCCTTGAGTCGGTCTGCAGACACCAAGGAAGAGCCTGGAACTGCAGAAGAGGCAGTGCTGCTGACAGGGAGAAGTTTGCAAAGTGACCTGAGAGCAGCGTGGGCTGTTGGGTCCTGGCTGCTTCTCCCTGGCTCTGCTCAGGCTTTCACATTCAGAAAAGCAGTGAGTTGATGCAATGAGTGTGGTGACCTGTCATTGCTAGATGGCTGACCCTTCAGAACAGTGGGAGCAAAGTCTGGAGCCCAGAAAAATCGAACAGAGAGGCACTGAGCAAGGGCAGGAGTGCAGCACAGAGCTGCAGCCTGGGCCACGTGGCTGCTGCTGGCTGCAGATGGGGAATAAGGCACGAGGCATTCATGCTGCACGCTGTGCACGATGCTGTTGTGGCACAGTGCATGCACACTGACAGCGGCACGGCGTACAAGCAGCCTTACCTCGTGGATGAACCCATAGTGCACCAGCTCTGTGGCAAGGTCCTTGGAGTTATCAGCTGCAGAGGGAAGGAACAGTGAGAACATTGGTGCATCCCAGCTCATCCTCTCCCAACAAAGCACACCTCTCCAGCCCACAGCACAGCTGACTGCGCCTCATTGCACGTTAGGGGCACACACTGTGTGCTGCTGCTCACAGTTCTGAGTAATGCTGGGGCCAACAGAACAGAGTGTGCAGTGAGTGAGAGGCAGGACTGAGCTCCAGCCCCACATTGCACAGCACAATGCCTTGGCAGTGCGTCACTGTCAGGTCTTTGAGCTTGCCATGCTTGGGCTCAGCATGAAAAGGAAGCAGGCCGCTTCCTGCAGGTAGGAACACGAGGAGCTGGTGGAGCAGCAAATCCCAAGTGTCAGTTTGCAAGCTTTGTGTTTTTGTTCTGCCTGTAGGGACTCCAGCTGTGCAGCCTGCAGAGGGCTCCTGCACACCTTAGGAAGGAGCTGCTGCATTGGACAGACCCCAGGAGAAGTGCCCTTCCCCACACCCGTGGGGTTCCCTAAGAGAAGAGCGCAGCAGCTCCTTGGAAGGTGCTGTGGAGACTGCCCCAGGGCTGGGAAAAGGCAAAGAATGCACTCATTCACTGGTATTGCCCCAGTCGCACATCTCTGGTTTAAGTGCACGCTCCTGATGGCCACGGGACTCACAAAGTTCACTTCAGCTGCAGGTTGGCTCCGCAAGCCAAAGGGAACAAGAAAATTAAGTTTGGTCTGCTCTCCCAAGGAGAGAAGAGCTGAGTGCAAGCAGTCTGTGCCAAGCCCTAACCCCAAACCTGACCATGGCTACCAGGAAATACTTCTGCACAAGAAGCAAGGAGACCTACTGGGCAGCAAGTCGTAGCTCAGCTGTCGGTGCAGCTTGTCCTCCAGGATCAGCAGGAGCGTGAGCTGCAGAGAGAAGAGAGAGCTCTGTGCATTCATCTGTAAGAGGCAGTATCAATGCTGGAAGCTGCTAGCAGGGCGGGCAGGGGGTGCTGGTCAATGCCAGCATGCGGGGTGTCTTTGGGGCATAGTTTGGGTGACTCAGAGAGATGCTCTCTCTGTTAAACTGGAAAGAAGCAGAGCTAAGAGGTGTCCAAAGATGTCATGGACTGCTGACAGAGGGGTCTGTCGGCTTTGCTCTTCTCTGGGCTTCTTTTGCCTCAGACAGAAGGGCAGGTCTTTTGGGTCCTGCAGCGAACTGAGACCAAGCTGTGCCACGGTGCAGAGAACAGATGCTGCCCATTGCATCCTGGTGGGGCTGTGCACTCACATGCCACTGGGTCTTGTCCTCATTCAGCTCCATGTTGCATTGCATCTGTACCACCTGGAAGAGGCCAAAGTGAGCGTCAGCCCAGACACAGCCCCTTGAACTCCCCCAGGTCTGTTTTGCTCCTGTTTTCCAAGCACAACTCTCAAAATCCCACTTAAAAACCCAGCTACCAGCCTGACCTTCTACTCAGCCTACACCTCCAGGTGCTGTCCAGAACAGCTGAGGGTTCATTGAGCCCAACATCCAGTCACAAACTGCCATCAGCTGATGAAGGGTTGAGTGGGAGCCCTGCAGGAGGTGCAATTCAGGGGCAGCATTACATCAGGATGAATTCCTCTGCTTTATTTGTCTGGGTGGGTTTTCCCCTTGAGGCCCTGCCCAAACTCTTGGTTATGTTTTAGTGTCGTGCTTTAGTTCATGTCCCTGAGGGATGACAACTTCCTGAAACAAAACCAAGATGTCAAAAACTATTGAAATGATGCAGAGTTCATTTTGGGAACGCTGCATTGCAATGCAGCGTATTAAAATTAAATAGACCAATATGGCTTTTCCTTAATATGTCAGCTTCAAGCTCCAGGACGACGACGTGCCCAAGGTGGACGCCCCTTCCTTACACTGAGTAACACCAGAGGTCCCTTGTTTGTGTGCAGAACTGCCCCACATCCTGCACACATCACTGAGAACAATGATGGTAACTGAGTGCATCACTGCCACCTGCTCCCGGCTCTCTCTACCCAATGCCCATGATCATCATCCTGTGGGAGGGGACATCGGGAGCTCTCTAGACCCCCCCCCACCCAAAAGAAGAAGGCAGTGAGTTCAGAGAAGGCTGCCCAGCATCACTTTGCTGCCCTCCTTTGAACTAGTTCCAATTTATCAGTGTCTTTCTGTGTTGTCCAGATGCAGAATAATGACAGTGTGAATATTCCATCGCTGAGCACGATCCCACTGATACCTCATCCTATGCAGTTTTATTCACGGTCTGCTGCATTCCGACAGATCTTAGCAGTCACGGGGAATGAAGGCATTTGGCTGCTGAAGCAAGCAATGCTCTGGGGAAGCACAGTGACTCCTCACCCTGAACTCCTGACCCGCTCCACCACAGCAGAAAGTAGCCGTGCTCCCACTGAGATGGACATTTCCATCAGTCATCACCTCTTGTAGCTGACTCTGCAGTTTTGATGCAGCTCAAATATTTGGTTCCGGAGCAGAGGAGGCGATGGCTGAGCTGTGAGCCATGCAGGACCCACAGGTCAGCACCGCCTCTCTTATCTCCTCTCACTCTCACTTCTCTTTTTCACCTCTTTTTCTGCTTTTCACATCTCTTCTGCTTGCTAAATGGAACGGTACAGATGGAGGCCTCCATCAGGCTCCTGCAGACCACAACTTCCAGCACTGGAACCTCTCACCATGCACTGCTGAGCGCCCTCTGCCACCTTCCCCAGCTTGGCTGCTCTCTGACCTCATACCAAAGAGCTGAGCCCACAGACAAATGTGTGGGCTGCAGGAACATCCAATGGGTTGATGTGGATGTTATAGCCACAGTCCCAGGCCAACTGCTCAGGGTGGCACAGCTTGAGGAGGGAGATTGGACACGGAATCTCAACTGTGATTCCACGTGAAAACACACAACCAGTTGTTCAAAGCTTTTAGAATACTCATTCAGGACCCTGAATGAGTCTCCTGCCAGCCCAAGCTGAGCCACTAAATCATGGAACCACTGAGGTTGGAAAAGACCTCCAAGATCCCCACGTCCAACCCCATCCCATCTCATCCCATCTCATACCATCCCTCCCATCCCATCGCATCCCATCCCACCCCACCCCACCATGCCCACATCCCATCCCCACATGGCACATCTCCACCATTCTGGGACAGTGACTCCCCAGCCTCCTTATGCAGCTGTGCCACTGCATCACCACTCTTTGTAGACTAAATGTTTCCTAACATCCAGCCTGAGTCACCTGCACAGGACAGCGATGCTATTTCCAAAGTTCTAAAGCAACCTAGAAAGCACTCTGCTCCACACGGGTTCATAATGGAGTGAGGAAACATCTCCCTGCAGTGCATTTAGGAAGCCTAAAGAGGCTGGAAACTTCCCTTCCACTTAAATTAATTGCAGTGAGTGACAGCTCATCAACATGGTTTCTTGATTGTGCTGCAACACCTTTTGGATACGGAGGTAATCACAGAATCACAGAACCCTAGAATGGCCTGGGTTGCAAAGGAGCACAATGCTCATCAGTTCCAACCCCCTGCTGTGTGCAGGGTCCCCAACCAGCAGACCAGGCTGCACAGAGAACCCACAGGGTGCCATAAGGATCCACAGTGAGCCACAGTGATCCATAGGGTGCCATAAGGATCCATAGGGTGCCATAGGAATCCAGAGAGTGCCATAGGAATCCAAAGGGTGACATATGGATCCATAGGGTGCCATGAAGATCCACAGGGTGCCATAAGGATCCATAGGGTGCCACAGGGATCCATAGGGTGCCATAGGGACCCATAATCATAGAATCACTGTAGAGTCACAGAATGGCCTGGGCTGCAAAGGAGCACAATGCTCATCAGTTCCAACCCCCTGCTGTGTGCAGGTCGTCAGCCAGCAGCCCAGGCTGCCCAGAGCCACATCCAGCCTGGCCTTGGATGCCTGCAGGGATGGGGCATCCACAGCCTCCTTGGGCAACCTGTTCCAGTGCCTCACCACCCTCTGGGTGGAAAACTTCCTCCTCACATCCAACCTGAACCTCCCCTGGCTCACTTTAAAGCCATTCCCCTTGTCCTATCACCATCCACCCTCACAAACATTACCCTAGGCAATGCCAGGAGCCTATAACCAGCAGCACCAGCACCTTCTGCATGGCACTAAAAACGTGGCTGAAATGCAGAGCAAGTTCAAAGCCCACCCATTATCTGCCCACAGGCACGCTCCTGTGCTCAGAAATGCTGCTCAGAGCTGCATGGGTGCCCCCATGTCCGTCCACGGGGCTCGCTGGGCATCCCACTGCTGCCTCCCAGAGCTGCCAGCTGCGGTCACATTCCTTTGGCACTTGCAGGTTTGTCCAGATGCAAGATTTCATGCAATGAAACTCAGATCGCCGCTCCCCTCTCAACCCCCAGTAAAATCAATGTGTGTTTTTTCACCAGCCATTAGCCAGACCACGCACCTGCAGAACTGGGGCACTGGATGAAAATGTAGCATATAGCAAATGCAAAGGGGGAGACAGCATAAATGCTTGGGTTTACGCTGACATTCCTCCAATTGATCCAACTGAGCACCGCAGCGCTCTCTAAAAATAAGCCCGGAGCACTATGAATAAACCATAAGTTAAGTGCTCTGAGAGCTGATTTACGGCCGTGATGGAACCACTGACTGCTTTGTAGAGTCATTTCACAGCATCTTGCAGGAATGAGAACCAGTTTGGGGCCTGCGTAGCGCTTTTAACATTAATTCAATGCAAGGATGAAGTTGTGTTCACAACATCCACGGTGACACAAGGAGTGCCACGGGCGATCGATGACAAATGACATGATAGCATCAGTGCAGGGAAATACCTCATACAGAGAATAGAGACACAGAATGTTGTTTTAAGGAACAGAGGTGCACACAGACCTATGCCTGATCCCAAAGCTCTGCAGCTTAGCAGATGGAAGCCAGCTGAGCTGTGCCATGCTGGGGCCGCGTCCTGCCGACAGCAGCCAACCCTCCTCTCCCCATGCACTTGTCAGCAAAGTGCCCCTGCTGCCTCCGATTTGGGGCTTCCAATAGAAGACACTGATAAAATGGAGTGAGTTCAATGGAGAGATGGCAAAACCGTGCAGGGCTGCAGCACTGGGAGGGGAGGCAGAGGGAGCAGGACTTGCTCTGCCCGATGGCTTTGGGGAACCCAATGGCAGCACGCCCATAGCTGTGGGGGTGCTGAGAGGCTGTGTGCAGAGAGAAAGGAGAGAAGAGACAGACCTAAAAGGGATGTTCTGGATGGACCCAAGGAAATTTTTTTTCATGGTGAGAATGTTCAAACAGTGGACGAGGGGCCCACAGAGGTTATTGGATCTCCATCCCTGGAGGATCTCAGGACCCAGTTGGACTCCTGATGTCCCTTCCTACCTGAGCAACTGCATGGCAGAATGAGACCCAGCACTGGATACCCAATGTAGGTCATGCAGCAGTGATTAATCCTGGGAAACTGCTCCTGAGACCAAAGTGGATTCAGCATTTCAAAATGCTGTCAGACCCACGGCGCCCACCCTTCCTGCAAACAACCCTGGGACAAACACACAAAAAAGCCCTTGAATCGAAGATGCTGAGTGAAATCCAGCAACCTGGGAGAGCACGTGAAACTGACTCCAGGACACTAATAATACAGGAAATCATGAAAGAAGACTTTAAAACTAAGCTGCCACCACAGAATCACTGAAAATAAGAGCCGAAAGGATTCAGGACGCCATCCTGGAGAATCATAGGATCGTTAAGGTTGGAAAAGACCTCTAAGCCCAGCTGTCAACACAACCCCTTCGTGCTCACTCATAGAATCATCAAATCACTGAGGTTGGAAAAGAACCCCAAAATCCCCAAATCCAACCCCAACCCATCCCCCCACGTCCCCAGGTGCCACATCTCCACAGCTCTGGAATATCTCCAGGGATGCAGACCCCCCACTTTCCTGTTCCAACTGCCACTCTGATGGTACCTGTCCTGACCTTACCTTCCTGGTCTCCACATCAAAGGGTTCTGGCGTGGGGGTTTTGGCTTTCTGAGGGTCCTCTGGGGGCTGAGAGAGTGCCCGTGGGAGGGCATGGGGTCTGGAAACAGCGAAATTCATCAGAGGGTAAATCCCATTCCTGGTACAGACACAGAGAGAGGAGACAACCAACTGAGCCCCGTCCTCCTGCTGCCACATGGAAGGTCTGTTCATCCATGTGGAGAGCCACAGAGGGGCTCAAACGAGAGACTAAGCATGGTCCTGCCAGTGGGACACTCCATGGGATGGGATCTGGGGATGTCCCAAAACCCACCTGACATCTTCTAAGAACTTGTCCAGCTCAAGGAACGAGACCTCTGAGTACCTGGGAGGGAAGGATGGGAACATCACTGCAAGAGCAGGGCAGGAGAGCAGCACGAAGGGCTGCGTGGTGACAGCGTGGTCAGGGTGAATGCAGGTCCTGGGCTCACATCTTGTGCTCCAAACCCTCACCTCCACTGTGCTCCAGGCCGACCCTCACGCCGGATCTCTGCCATCACCATGTTCAGGTCCAGCTCCTTTATCTTCTCCTCCACCACGTTCTCTGGCATCAGATCTAGGGCAGAGCCAGAGAGGGGCATCAGCCGGGAGATGCTGCAGGCTGGGCTCTGTGCTCGCTGCCATTCTCCACGGGCTCCTCCATCCCCCCAGCTCTGCGGGGCCGGGATGCACGAGCTCAGTGGGGCAGGGCAGTCTCCTGTAACTCACACTGGTTGTTGATGAAGCAGTGTGCTGCCAGCAGCTTCAGGGAATGGACCTCGAAGAGCACGCGGTGGAAGAGGAGGCTGTTGGCCGTCGGCCGCTTGTCGGGGTTGAGGGTCAGGCACGACAGAATGAACTCCTGAGGGTCAAACACAAAGCATGAACTGGAGGCAAAGCCCCGCTCCACGTCTGTTCCAGTGCTTGGTAACTCTGTCGGAGAAGAAATTGTTCCTAATATCCAACCTGAACCTCCCCTGGTGCAACTTCAGGCCATCATCTCTCATCCTACCTTACCCCGTAGGATGCCTAGGAGAATTCTGGAACCACACGAAAGAATGGGGAGAATGTGCACACATGATGGAATGTTTTGGGGATGAACGTGGAGAGAAACAAAAGATGCATGCTGCTGTCTGAGCCCCGTACTGGGCACTTCAGCCTGCCCTGTCTTCTCACCAAGCCCTGCCCTTCAGATATTGATGAGCATTTATCAGATCCCCTCTTGACCTTCTCTCCCCAGGTGCACAGCCCCAGGGCTCTCAGACTCCCCATCAGGAGATGTTCCAACCTCCTCCTATCTCTGCACCCTCTGCTGGGCTCTCTCCTGCCCTGAACTGGGACCCCCACACAGTGCTCCAGCATTGCCCCCCCAGGGCAGAGCAGAGTGGGGAGAACCTCCCTGCCCTGCTGGCCGTGCTCTGTGCAATGCACCGCAGCGTCCCATCTTGGCAATCAGGGCACACTGCTGGCTCACAGTCAGCCTGCTGGCCACCAGAACCCCCAGGTCCTTTTCTACAGAGCATGCACACATGTGTACACATGCACCTACTGGGATCTGGCACCCAGCCTCACTGCTGTTCCCAGTGGGACAACATGTGGGGACAAGATCTCATCATGACCAGCCGAGCAGGAAGGATCCTGGTGCCCTTCAGTCTGCCAGACTGCTGCCCGCTGCTCCCAGAAGGCTGCTCCATGGCCACCTGAAACATGTGGGTCCAGCTGTGTCCCAGTGGCTCCATCCCACAGCTCGGCTGCCCGCACTCACCCTCATGTTGGGGTCATCCAGAGAATGCCGTGCCCTCATGATGGCCTCCTCCGAGACCCGTGTGTCACCGTTGGTCTGGATCTCCAGCACTGCCATCTGGGGAAGGAGGAGCGCAGCTGTGTCTGCAGGCAGCCAAGCCCTGGCTCAGTCCTCGGGGCCCACTTCTCTACCCCAGTGCTGCACAGGCAACCCCCAACCAACAAGCAACAGCCCCCTCGTAGCAGCACTGAATGTCCCTGTCCCATGTGCTCCCCCTCCCTGGGGGTGCCACAGCCCATGGAGGCTGAGCCAAAGCAGCAGTGGATGCTCTGCTGAGCCCAGCAGTAGTGCCTCCACCTCCATAGATCCATAGAATCATAGAATCACAGAATGGCCTGTGTTGCAAAGGAGCACAATGCTCCTACAGTTCCAACCCCCTGCTGTGTGCAGGGTCGCCAACCAGCAGACCAGGCTGCCCAGAGCCGCATCCAGCCTGGACCCACAGCTCACAGCCAGGTGTGGGGAGCTCCCAGGCAGCCAGCAGGCCCCACAAGGCACTGCCCTGCCCCATAAGTGGGGGTCCTGCAGGTTCCCATGCTCTGCAGCAGCCCAGCTCCGTACCTCCAGTGCGCACATCCCAAAGGAGAAGATGTCCACGGCGGTGCCGTCAGCCTTCTCTGCAGAACCAAACCAGGAGCCCATCAGCCCAGTTGTGGTGGGACTTCAACCCCCCCACCAGGAGCAGCCGACGTCCCCACCTGTGTGCCCTTCTCCCCACACACTTCTATCTGTGCCTGCTTCCCTACCCTGAAACCCAGAGCTCTACACAAATCTTTCCAATTAACTCAGAAGACCCGAGGTGGGGCTCATGCTGTGTGCGTGCACAAGGCACGAAGGCTCCTTGCTCCTTTTTCCCCCTCACTCTAACACTTCACATGCTGCTGAGCGCTTCTGAGCCAGAACCTTTTCAGGCAGCGACCCGAGCTCATGCTGAGACCTTGTTCTGAACCAACAACATCCAACTCTCAGCTCATTGCTAGGTGTGCACAGCTATTCTCCCTGTGGGCACAGCTATTCCCCCCACGTGCACAGCTCCGCACTGATCAGCGCAGCATTTCACCTTCAGCATTGGCACAACCGTCCACAGTCACGAGATCTCCTCTTGGCTGACAGCTTTAGTTCTGAAGGCACCAAACTGCAAACCGCAGCGGCCAAACATTGAACTACAGCCCTTTCACAGCCCCCTTCTCCTCCCCAAACTGAGCCCCACTCACGGCCGTATTCCGGGGGAAAGAAATGCAAATTGCGCAGCTCCTCCCTCTCGATCCGGATGGGGCTCCGCAGGTCGTCTGGAAGGGCTGCAGGGGAACAAGAAATAATCTGAGCCACGGCTCTGCAAGTGAGCACAGATGGGACTTTGGAGCGTGTCCCTGCCCATGGGGACAGCAGTGTGCACCCACTTCCCCAGGAGATGACACAGCAGTGGTGGTTCCCCTCCTGCTTGCAGCCCCAGGGCCACTCCTTGGTGCCCAATGGGGACAAAATCCACCTGGTGAAGAGATGGATGTGCTGGAGATGGAGCAGAGGGACACTCACCGTTAGCAAACACCCGGTGCCACACTGCCGGTCAGCGCCGATGCCAAAGGAGATAAGTGAGAAGTGTAGAGCAGGGGACACAAACAGAAGACAAGGTAATGCCACACTTCAGAACCATAGAATCGTTAAGGTTGCACAAACCACTAAGATCATTGAGTCCAACCCCACCCCATCCCCACTGTCCCACTCACCACGTCCCCAGGTGCCACATCTCCATGGCTCCGTAACACCCACAGGGATGGTGACCCCAGCAGTTCCCAGGGCAGCTGTGCCAATTTCTGACCCAGCATTTTAGACACACTGCAGGGCCTTAACGCCTTTCTTGCAGTGAGGGACCCAACATTGAGCACAGCACTGAGGTATGGCCTCACCAGAGCTGAGTACAGAGGGATGATCACCTCCTGCTCTGCTGGCTGCACCATTTCTGGTACAAGCCAGGATGCCATTGGCCTTCTTGGCCACCTGGGCACGTTGCTGGCTCATGGTCAGCATCCCCAGTTCCTTCTCTGCCACAAGGGCACTGCACACATGTGATGTTCAGTAATCCCCCAGGGGACTCTCAGCTCTTATTCCTCCCCACAGCTCCCCACTGCCCACCCCATTCCCAGCCCCAGAGCTGCGGGGCCGCGTCCTACCAGAGCCGATCTTGATGAGCCCATTGTGCTGGATGAAGATGGTGTCACTGGTGAGGTTGCCATGGATGATGGGGGGCTCACAGGAGTGGAGGAAGCTGGGGGGGGCACAGAGCTGCCCTGAGATGCTGCCCAACGCAGCCAGCAGCAGGACAGTGAGGCAGAGAACTTACCTGAGAGCGGACAGGATCTGCGTGCACCAGCGCTTCCAGGCCTATGGCAGAGACCAGAGCTGTGTGAGACAAGCCAGGACCCACATATCGACCGGCAGCTGGGAACCCGACCCCCCACTGCCCTGCAGGGACCACTGCTCGAGGATGAGCCACGCACTGTCCCAGCCACAACAGCCTCCTTTCCAGTCCTGGTTCAGTAAACACCATCAAAGCTGAGAACCTCAGTGCTGTGATCCTCAATGTCAGACACAGCTCTGCAGGGCACCAAAACCCAGTGGGAGTGTGGACACATGCACCATAGAGGGGGCAAAATCTCACTCTGCTCATGGGGTCCGTGCAACATGGTTTGTACCAATGGTGAACCCCAATTCTACCACTGCAATGCTGTGGCAGTGAGCTCAGACTTGGGGGAGGGCAATGGGGTCCAGCACAGATCCCACAACACACAGATCCCTGTGTAATGCAGGGAGCAACCAGGGGATCGTAGAGTCATGGAGGTTGGAGTCTCCTAAGATCATGCAGTCCAACCTCAACCCATCACCCACACAGAACCACAGAATGGTTGGGTTGGAAGGGACCTCAAGGACGATGAAGCTCCAACCCCCACCACAGGCAGGGCCACCAACCTCCACATTT